TTGCAGATCCATGGTTTAAATCCCGTCTTGATTAGGTCTGGTGTGCAACCCATGAGAAGGTTACTGGGGTACACTTGGGTATAAAGTATACCAGTATTGTCTTTGCAGTGTTTGTTATCACTGATCAATGCCTGAGCTGTTTAAGATGTTGTTGTTCTGGCTAGGACACCTTTGCAGATCCATGGTTTAAATCCCGTCTTGATTAGGACTGGTGTGCAACCTATGAGAAGGTTACTGGGGTACACTTGGGTATAAAGTATACCAGTATTGTCATTGCAGTGTTTGTTATCACTGATCAATGCCTGAGCTGTCTAAGATGTTGTTGTTCTGGTTAGGACACCTTTGCAGATCCATGGTTTAAATCCCGTCTTGATTAGGACTGGTGTGCAACCTATGAGAAGGTTACTGGGGTACACTTGGGTATAAAGTATACCAGTATTGTCTTTGCAGTGTTTGTTATCACTGACCAATGCCTGAGCTGTCTAAGATGTTGTTGTTCTGGCTAGGAGACACCTTTGCATGGTTCGGTTCAAATCCTGTCTTGGTTAGGACTGGTGTGCAACTCATAAGAAGGTTACTGGGGTACACTTGGGTATAAAGTATACCAGTATTGTCTTTGCAGTGTTTGTTATCACTGATCAATGCCTGAGCTGTCTAAGGTTTTTTTTTTGTACTGGCTAGGACACCTTTGCAGATCCATGGTTTAATTCCCATCTTGATTAGGTCTGGTGGTCAACCCATGAGAAGGTTACTGGGGTACACTTGGGTATAAAGTATACCAGTATTGTCTTTGCAGTGTTTGTTATCACTGATCAATGCCTGAGCTGTCTAAGATGTTGTTGTTCTGGCTAGGACACCTTTGCAGATCCATAGTTCAAATCCCGTCTTGGTTACGACTGGTGTGCAACCCATGAGAAGGTTACTGAGGTACACTGGGGTATATAGTATACCAGTATTGTCTTTGCAGTGTTTGTTATCACTGATCAATGCCTGAGCTGTCTAAGATGTTGTTGTACTGGCTAGGACACCTTTGCAGATCCATAGTTCAAATCCCGTCTTGGTTAGGACTGGTGTGCAAACCATGAGAAGGTTACTGGGGTACACTTGGGTATAAAGTATACCAGTATTGTCTTTGCAGTGTTTGTTATCACTGATCAATGCCTGAGCTGTCTAAGATGTTGTTGTTCTGGCTAGGACACCTTTGCAGATCCATGGTTCAAATCCCGTCTTGGTTAGGTCTGGTGTGCAACCCATGAGAAGGTTACTGGGGTACACTTGGGTTTAAAGTATACCAGTATTGTCTTTGCAGTGTTTGTTATCACTGATCAATGCCTGAGCTGTCTAAGATGTTGTTGTTCTGGCTAGGACACCTTTGCAGATCCATGGTTCAAATCCCGTCTTGATTAGGACTGGTGTGCAAACCATGAGAAGGTTACTGGGGTACACTTGGGTATAAAGTATACCAGTATTGTCTTTGCAGTGTTTGTTATCACTGATCAATGCCTGAGCTGTCTAAGATGTTGTTGTTCTGGCTAGGACACCTTTGCAGTTCCATGGTTTAAATCCTGTCTTGGTTAGGTCTGGTGTGCAACCTATGAGAAGGTTACTGGGGTACACTTGGGTTTAAAGTATACCAGTATTGTCTTTGCAGTGTTTGTTATCACTGATCAATGCCTAAGATGTTGTTGTTCTGGCTAGGACACCTTTGCAGATCCATGGTTCAAATCCCGTCTTGATTAGGACTGGTGTGCAAACCATGAGAAGGTTACTGGGGTACACTTGGGTATAAAGTATACCAGTATTGTCTTTGCAGTGTTTGTTATCACTGATCAATGCCTAAGATGTTGTTGTTCTGGCTAGGACACCTTTGCAGATCCATGGTTCAAATCCCGTCTTGGTTAGGACTGGTGTGCAACCCATGAGAAGGTTACTGGGGTACACTTGGGTTTAAAGTATACCAGTATTGTCTTTGCAGTGTTTGTTATCACTGATCAATGCCTGAGCTGTCTAAGATGTTGTTGTTCTGGCTAGGAGACACCTTTGCAGATCCATGGTTCAAATCCCGTCTTGGTTAGGACTGGTGTGCAACCCATGAGAAGGTTACTGGGGTACACTTGGGTTTAAAGTATACCAGTATTGTCTTTGCAGTGTTTGTTATCACTGATCAATGCCTGAGCTGTCTAAGATGTTGTTGTTCTGGCTAGGACACCTTTGCAGATCCATGGTTCAAATCCCTTCTTGGTTAGGACTGGTGTGCAACCCATGAGAAGGTTACTGGGGTACACTTGGGTATAGAGTATACTAAAGTATTGTCTTTGCAGTGTTTTTTATTTCTGATCAATTCCTGAGCTGAATTCAAAAAATATAGGTAATATTACTTTTGCATAGTAAATAATGATGAATTTTCATTGGTGATAAACATGTAACGAAAACAGATCATTTCACAGTAGTGTAGCGAAAAATAGCGTTTATGACTCACATATTAATTGAATATGTTTTCCTTACTTTAGTGAGTAATGGCTTCATGTAGAGTTTGCCACGGTAGAATTTCAGCTGTTCAAACACTGACTATATTTGGACTGCTGTACTAATATCTTTTAGACAAATATTTCTAAGATGGAATAGGTTTTAAGGATAGTCTACAAGGTATAATCTATTTATTTATATAAAAAATAAATAAATAGCTATTTATATTTAAAAAAATATAACAGTTCCAACAAAAAATAAATACATGTTATGTACGTACACAAAGTCAAAATAATTAAAATTTCGGTGACTATTAATTCATGACATCAACAAATTACACTTCACATTTTTCTGAGAAAATAACTGTCACTTATAGATAAGACTAATGTATAAAACTCTTAAACGTATCTCATTTATTTAAATTCTCAGAAAACCAATCGAATATTGTATCTAGTCTGAGATAATTCGGAGTAGGCTGTCTAAATATTAGCGAATTTCCCTATATGGAAGAAAGAGGCACAGAAAGACCTAGATTGTCCTTTTTCATTTTGATATCCCCAGAGGCCAAAAACTATTTGCTCAAATTTATATATGTATGTGTATGAACAAAATAACTATTTTGGCTAAATTTTGATGAAATTTGGCATGAATGGCGTGGATGGATAAACTTGATTGAGTTTGCGAACCATTAAGATTCCAGGTCAGAAGATCAATGTGTGGTTATAGGGTTATGAAATTGTTTAAAAAATAGTTTTTCTTTTATTCAACCCTTAAACTATGGAATTGCCCAATTTCAATTGCAGCTATCGTGTAGAGCTTAAAAAAGAAACAGTTTAGTATATTTAAGCATTGTTATACAATTAAAGAACGCAATTTAGTATATTAAAGGATTGCTGTATATTTAAAGGTCGCAGAGAAAATAAAAGAAACTGTACTTTTTAAATTCTTATGGAAAAAGAAAACTGTTGGTGTTTGCTTGTTTATGGATAAATTTTGATCATTTGTCATATTTATTTATTTTATCACTATTTACATTTGATCAAAACACACTTTTTACCTTCCCTATATCAGCAAACCCTAAGAACTTGTTGAATCCAATGATTTTTGAAAGAGGGAACAAGTACGACTTGTTTATGGGAATAATTTAGTCAAAATCTAATCAGGCTGAAAGGTTCGCGGAGGCGGGGGCATTTTTTGTAAGAGCAAACCAGAGTTACTCTGCATAACTCCGTTAAAAATATAAAATGTATAATAAAATGTTACTTAAAAATTATTCAACACATAGTTATAAACATTTTGTTGCTAAACCAGCTCTAAAATTTAGTTAAGCAAAAGATTGTCACCAATAATTTACTGTTTTGGGTATAGAAAATATCATTTTATTAGTGGCTTGAGTCGTAGAAAAAGGCAATTTGCTGATAATCCGCTTAGCCCCCAATATACCACTTCCGTCACATGCAAACAGATCTGTAGTAAATCCGGTACGACCTGCTGATATAGCAAGCAACTACAGCATAGATTTACCTAGTAACTAGACCAGGGATTCGGCCTTTATCTTATAAGTTGAATTGTCTTTTGTGAAGAAACGCAAATAACACTTTTGTGATAATGAGTATACTAAGTACATTCTTAACATTTAGAGTACATTTTCTGAGCGACTTAGTTTGCGTTAGTTGCTTCTACGTCATCTATTACCGGATACAGCATATTTACTATCTCATTTGATAGTAAGTGGAGTACTTGTGAAAGTGCTCAGAAGTTTTCCTCATGCTATCTGTTCAATTGTATTCATTCTATCATATCTATGTCATGCAAAGCTTCTATCACCTACTGAGAATTTTGCTCAAGTAATAATAGTAGTAGTGAAATGTTATTGCTCAAGTTTTGATATCCCATTAATTTTGGACACTGAAGACCTCTCATCCATATATGCCTGCTATACTCGAGGTTCCGAATGACAACATAGTTGAATATACTTCTCATATTGTGTTATTGTTGAATATCTATTTTCTCATTCAATTTTTAAAATGTGATAGTTTGTAGAAACATAAATAATCCTATAGTATGCAATAAGCTGCTTTTGCAGTTTTCCATGATTAAAACATTGGTGCATAGGCCTAAGACGAATAGGTTTAGCACTTTAACAGTAATATATTGAGAGCAGCGTCTGATTTGAGCAACAAGCAAAAGACAGCGTTTTCTACCAAAAATTAATCTACGAAGTTGAATAGATATTTATCACAAACCAAATATGAAGTAAAAGTTTGACATGTTGTACATTGACACACCACACTACACTAGTAGCAGTTCAAGGTTTTAATTAAAGAAGGAGTGTAGAATAAATTACTTGAAACCTTGTGTACGGACTAAGATGAGCTGAATAACATAATGATGCATAATCCCAGTTTTAAATCTCCAACAAATCACTTCCTGGTGAGGAATTCACCAACAACATATCTAGCGTTGTTTGTTTTTAGTAAATATTTGAAACTTAATCTCTCAAAAACATTACTCATCTATGGTTTTGTTTGCAGCACTCAGATTGGAGGTTTACAATAGAGGAGTTGATAACGCTCTGGTGGCCCTCCATGGCGTATCACTTCTCTAACCATAGCTTTTCCCCACCTAATCCCCGAGAAGGTAATTACCTTGTAATATTACACTACATTTTATTTTGTTTTAAATGTTATATTTATCAAATTTGTGACTAGGCTTACTTCTGATTGGTTAGCTGTTGTTTTGATGTTTTTGCTAGTCTAGTGACACATATTCTGGACTTCAGTCCAAGAGGGACAAGTTCGGTCCCTGACAAATGCACTTTAATTAGAAAGGTTTGGACTGCTTTCCTTAAAAGCTTTATGTTCTTAGTTACAAAATGCCACTGCTGTTTAAATTAAATATAGCTGTTATTAACTTTTCAACTTATGTGGCCCTAGCCTGAATATTCTGGGAGGAAAGGCTATACCAGCATAATAATCCCAATTTCTCATTTTACTGACAACTTTAACTGTCATCTCGTAAAATAAACATTTTCTTACATCATCTTTATTTTTCAATAAAAATTATGATAAAAAACTAGTCATAATTTTGTGAGTGTATGAAAACTGTTTATGCCAAACCAATCTTGGGCCTCCTTTGGCCGCATGTGTTTTCCAGTCGTTTTTGACAGCAGTATGTATCCACAGCTGCATAACTAGCTTCTAATGTGTCCCCAATTATATTCACATCAAACTAGGCTTTACTAGAGGTAAAAAAAATAATAAAAAACCAAATACCTAACGAGAGTAGTAAAAGTGGGTTCATCCACCTTCCAAATACCAAATTTGATAACCGATCAATAAGATAGAAAGTTAACCTATGTTTTTAACGAATTTCCCTATATTTAGCTATTACCGTAGGTGGCACAGTAAAACCTAGGCCTGGGACCGATTTACCCGTTTCCCCCATTCGTTCAAATTTTTATATATATATATATACGTCCGTGAACGCGATAACTTGAGTAATTTTTGTCCGATTTTGATGAAATTTTGTTTAAAGGTGTAAGGCAGGATAAACTTGAATGAATTCGCGAACCAGTATGATCGGACCATGGGAACGGGGTTTTATGGGGTAAAAATTTGTTTTTCTCATTTTTTACCCACAACATTTCTTAATTTCTCTCTAGGCGCTTTTAAAGAGCTTAAAAAAACAAATAATTTAGTATATCAAAGTGTTTTTGTACAGTTATCGGTAAAGGAGAAAATTCAAAAAACTATAAATTTAAAATTCCCATGTTATTCTTATGGAGAATATTGTAAAATGTTGTAGTTTGCTTGTTTATGGATATATTTTGATCAAACTTGGCTAATTTATTTATTTTATACTAAACTATTAATGTTTTTTAAAAAAATACACTTTATTAGTTTCCTTGTAGCAGCAAACCTAGGTACACATTAAACCTAATGTTATTTAAATAGGTTTAATTAAAAATCAATTCACACAAATGAAAATTCGCTTAGTCGGCAGGTTTGCTGCAGCGGGAGTATTTTTATTTGTTTTGATGCCAATGACATTTTTACTTGAAGAGTTGCACGGTAGAAGCAATTAAAAGCTTTTAAGGAATGTGGTCCAAACCCACATATGTGCTGTGGATGTGCTGGGAATTGAACCAATTAAAAATATGTTTGCCAACTAATTATCCATCACCCAAATAACTTTAGCTAACATTTTAATGGTTTATAGTAAGAACTTTATCATGCTACTTTACGCATTAACAGGTCAATGTTAGGTCCCATGTATAAAACTTAAGCTTGCACAAATAACTATCCATTAGAATAGCCAATATTATGAAATTATTAAAAGACTTATGAATGTTTATTATATGGTTTGGTTATATCATAAAGTAGAAACGCTATCTCATCAAGTAAAAATATCCAATAATGTAATATAATTGGTATGCAAGGCTTAGCTGTATAAAACAGGACAGCAATAGCACAGAATATTGACCGATTTGGTTCTTAAACTTTTATAGTAACTAGTGATTTAAGTTTACTCCTATTACATTATATGAAAAAGGTAATATCCACAGTGTAACAGGAAACGCAATTATTGAGGTAATTTGATCAATTCTATTAGCTTAAACGAAGGCTCAATGAGTTGCACAGTAAGGAATACAATGTTGAGGAAAACTTGTTGTTGAATTCAAGTTAATTGCAGTAAGATTATCTGAGTTCTCTGAATTCAAGTTAATTTCAATACGATTATTAGAGTTGTCTGAAAACTTGATAGAAATTGAGGTTAAATATCTATAATTGCGTTTTGAAGGTTCACGTTCATTTCTGTTCTCAGTGTTGCTTCTAATGAATGCTAAACGTTCTCCTTAATTCAACACATGTCTCTAACATGTCTGTGATATGTTGCAACAAAGCTTTTACATTATGAAGAACTGAAGACAATTTGTTGCCTTTCCGATAATCTGTGTGAAGCAAGTTGAAGTTGGTCACTTTATTTCTTTGAGCAGTAGCACTTTCTTCAATTTGACACATCCCCCTAAACAAACTCTTTTCCCCGCACAGGAAAAGTAAATGATAGGCCATCGGATCCAATCGTGAACAAGGGGGTGCTATCAACCATTTCAGGAGCTATTTTTTTTTAGGCATACCACAAACTCTGGGTTACCAACTAGGCAGCTAACATCTGTTTTATCATTTGAAGCAATATCATTGGAAGTTGGTCAATTGTAACGTCTTTTTTCTTGTTGTCTGTCAGAGTATATGCCCAGCATCCAGCATCCGTATATTCTCACTTGTTCATGTGGATTTTTGCTTAATACCTGTCCCAATGTTTTGAAAGCTTGAAAGTATAGATCTCTATTTGTTTAATAGGTAAAATAACTCTTGCATTAGATTTGGATAACAATTTTCATTTTCTCTTATTGAACAGTGTAAGTTATATTATTATTTGCCTCTTCTGGATCATAAAAATAAACTTCCCTTCTCTTGTGGTTGGTCAAATATTGCCACTAACACTAACATAGCAAATGAGTTGTTGCAGATTCTTGTTTTGACTTGAAATGTCTTGGCTGATGGTGAATTCCAGTCAATAAAGTTTTTATAAGTTTGATTGTTTGTGGAACTGGCAACGTAACCTTGCCATTATGATAGCAAGAAGTATACAATCCATTTGCTTTTTTCTCAATTGATTTAGAGTGAGTAACAAAAACTACATAGGGCCTATATTGTTCAATTGGCCTGGTGCTATAATTATCTGAGTTTATATTAGTTTGACCTATTACATTATTTTTCATTATTATTAGGTTCTTCATTTCATCCAATAAAACTGATTAAATGTTTATATTGGTCTATAACCTCCTGAATATTACAAACATCACTATTTACTCCGGTACTTTCCTAATAAAGGGTACATTTATTATTATCGATGATTTTTTTTTTTCGATATACCGAATCAATATTTTTGTTTTCCTTTAGGATCCATATTCCTTCTCTTTTAATATCTTCAAACACATTTAAATTACAAATTAACAACTGATCTTGTTTAGGCAAAAATGATATAGGCTATGGATTAAGAAATGAAAACATTCTTGCCACCAAGACTGATTGTACAAAATAATATAAAGGTTGCATACCTCCGTCCGTCTTTAGTCTAAAAAAATAGTTGAGGATGAGGTCCTTCTCTCTTTCTTGAGTTCCGTCGTGTCCGCCGTATAATCTGTGTCGGTTTGTCCTGTGCATGAATGAATGTGGCCGGCTAATGTTTTTAAATGTAGCTGTATCTGTGTGTAAATATATGGACTTTATATGTTGACTTGATATATGTTTTGATGAAGAATTCCGTCGGTTTATAGACTAAGTTATTCAATTTGATGTGGATTTGGGTCTTTGACCCGAAACTAGTCACCCCCAGACTATTTTTTAAGACCAAAGACGGACAGATTTATGTAACATTTATATTATTAAGAAAAGAACTGTTCTAAACTAACCAAACTTGCAGTACCATTTCAAAATTCCGTTTGATAACAGAAAAGGCATGTGGGGAATATCAAACGGAATCTTGAAATGGTACTGCAAGTTTGGTTAGTTTAGAACAGTTTCATTTCTTAATCCATGTATCATTTTTGCCTAAACAAGATCAGTTGTCAATTTGTAATTTAAATGTGTTTGAACATATTAAAACAGAAGGAAAATGGATCGCAAAGGAAACAAAAATATCTCTACGGTATATAAAAAAAAATCATCGATAATAATGAATGTTCCCATTAACACAGGAAATTACCTTTACTCCCAAAAATCTGACGAGTTTAATCTTATAAACAGCTGTTTTTTTTTTTTGTTTTTGAATTTGTTCTATGTAATGCTTACGGAGGAAATTCAACCATTGAGGGTGTCTCACACACTTAAGGATAAGAACTTTTAAAATTTTAAAACGTTGCAAAACTATAAATCGAGACAGTTTTTTGACACCTCAAATGTTGAAATTGTTTCTACAAGGGAGTAGGCCTACTAGTGTTTACAAAAACATATTCACGTGGTGTTATTGACAATGTCAACTTTTTATTCAGCTGTCAGGTTTCGTTGTGAAATGTATTTTGTGACTGTAACGTTTTGACTTAAAATGTGTCGAAAACGTAAATAAATAATGAAGTTAACAGGAAGTTGTGCATAGGGGCTATGACCCACTGGAAAGGTAAATGTACTGTAAAGTAGCATCTGGTGCCCTCATATCATGTACCCTAGACAGAAATGCTAATTTGATGTTCTACGACTTGTTTCTAAAAAAACAAATATTTATTCATAGTACTTAACCCTCTAGGTGTCGCATTGACAACCTCCAAATGTCTTTAGTGTTCATGCACTTTTCCTGCGTTTTATGTAAACATCCATAAAAACTTTCACAGAAGACAAAAATATAAACATGTATATTTTCTTAAACTACATAAAATAGGCTATCTTGAAATCTATACTTATTTAATACGCAAGCAGGATTTTTGTGACAATTACTCTTCCAAAACTACTGAACCGATTGACATGTTTTTGGTGTCATTGGAAAGAGCGTAACGTGAAGTTGTGCAGGAAACTTTCTTTTAAGTTAAATAATTAGAGAGTGAGGCCCTGGGACCCTTTAAAGTTTCGTATTTCTCCATAAGATTAACATGGGAAACAAACATTGTTTTGAAACTCCAGCTGTTGTTAGAAATGAAATATTAATAATTGGTCTCCATGGAAGCATGAGAAAATTCACAATGTTTACATTTACTTTGACATTTAAATGTAAACAACCAGAAATGTCAAATGCCTATTTCACAATTTCAGACAGCTGATACAACAACAACAAAATAAAATAAAACAACTATGTGGTAGGGCTTAATTATTCTTAAACTGTATGATAGATTATTTATTATAAATCTATTTCAGTGATTATGAAACAGATTTTTCCCGTTGCGAAGCAAAAATAAAAAGTGAGAAGAAGAACATATGTTAATTGTAAACAGTCAAAGTGTAAATTATCTATGTTGTATTAAAAATGTGTATAGTTTTGAATGTTGGTTTAATGATATGTGTTATTAAATATTGAATTTTTATTTTGAGGATTTGCCACATGAGTATGCCTATGATAAATAACACAATTCCAGAGTTCTGCCAGTTTTTTCTTAACGCTGTTCTGTAGAGTTTAAAGTAGCCTACACCTTATTGTCTACAAATTGGCTAAATAACTTAGGTACGGTACATTATACAAGCTGACACTGACAGCCTTTTTAGGTTGAATTGAATTGTAAGCTTTCCTTTTCCCGTCCATGGGAAGTTTGATAGTTAAAAATTAACCCTTTAAACTGGAATAGGACTGTTATGTAAATTGTGAGTATTTCGATTAGTTAACAATCTTTTGGTCGACTCTTTTAAAATCATCGGAAATTATGGCTGTTATTAGTTTTTAAACAAGTCATTTGTTTATAAATAACTCCAGTACTTCTTTGTAATTGCTCGATTTCGAGCAACATGTACACTAGTATATAGTATAATACCCTTACCTTACAAGACTGAATTCCTATATGAGTTCAAATCCAGAAGAGGCACAAATTTGGTTTCTATATCTGAGTAACTAGACATGTGGTAAAACACTAACAAACTGATGTATACATTTTATTCTAAATTAAATGATGAGGGGGAGCGAACTGGTCTAGTGGTTAGAGCGTGGGGGCTTCGGTCCAAGAGGTCCCGGGTTCAAAATCCCGCCAAATCACCAATGGATTTTATTTAAGTGATAATGCCGCAACCCCTATTTCTAGCCTGAAATAATCTGAAAAACAGTCCTAGGTTCGTGCCTAGCGTCCTAGGAAAAAAAAGAAAAAAAATTAAATGAGGAAAAAGTATTTGAAAAATGATTACTAAACATAAAAACAAAGATATGAACACCGAAACGATGTTGCTATGACAACCATAGACAAAAACAAACAAGCAGAAAAACTAACAAGCAGAAAAACTAACATAGGCCAGAAAAACAGTTCACAAAACTGCCATCTTCATTGGTTGTCGTGAAGCCCAGAATCTGCTGGATACATAGTTAATGGGATCGTTCGTTAGTACGCTATTATATCGCATGAAACAGAAAGCCTGCAACGTCGCCGTAATTACAGTGATTGACCCTCCGAGATTTAGGTAGTACTTTAATAATACTTTTAAAAGTGATGTAACATGAGGGTCCACTTATAAGGATCAGGGCCGGATTTAGCATTTTTGCGCCCCTAGGCCCAAATAATTTTCCGCCCCCTAGTCTGGTCACAGTTACTTTCCTTCAAACCTTTATTAAAAACTATATCACGCCCATAGGCCTAAGTTAATTGCTTGAATACCACTCCTCGCCGGAATCATTGCAAGTTTTTTTTTTATTGATTGTTTAGCTTTAACAAAATGCCGTCTTAAACACTGTTAGCAATTTTATGCTTTTAATAAATGCTCACGTTTGTGGCCGTGGGACTGAAACAAAACAACTCAAACCACCGAGAATTCCTGAAAAAAAACATGGCCATTGATTCCAATTCCAGGCCCAAAAACCTGAACTCCATACAGTATGTGATACCATAGATTAAACATAGGCTACTCCTTTAGTAGATTTGTCATAATTTTGGATTAGCTGAAAACAATTCTTGTTATTTAAGGAGTATGTTTTATCTATGTTTAAACCTAGTTTATCCAAAATAAAACGATCTAATCATCAACAATCGTCTCCTGTTTATATTACAAGAAATTAAAACACACATCATAGAACAAACCCAAAAAAAAATAGAAACAAAATTACGTCAAAACTAACGTCCAGTATCACCAACATGAACTAGACATGAACAAATTTTGAATTAGCAATGTCATAAGAAGTCGACTTGAGTTATATTTAATCTATGGTCGTACTGTATCTAGGTTATATTTCCAAAGCAAAACAGAGCAATACTCCTGCCAACCATACCGATCCTTAGGTCTGAGGAGAAAATGACAGCATTAATGGTGCTTTGGAGGGTATTGAATGTTTCTAAAATCTAATGCAAACTGAGATTAATATTTTATCGTTAAATTTAAACGTAAATTAATCGTTTTAATATTCAACACAACGTATTATATATTTTAACTTGATCCTGCAGATTGTTGTAACTAATCAAAAGATTAGTTAATAACTTTTGTTTTGTGAAGTGAGGGTGGTAACAATGTCTAGCACGCTTGCGCCCCTAATCACTATGATCAGTAGTGCTGAGCCTGAGCCTGAGCAAGCCGAGCCAGCATAGTGGCCCAGTGCAGTGGCAATACGATGCGTACTCCTTGGGCATTCGTCAACGTCAACATCCCTACAGCCTACTCCCGTATAACCAATGTTCGTTAGCAATTTTGTAACGAAATTGATGCGTAATTCTGAAAAATATTTTAAATTTCATAACAATAATTTCTTCTTATGAACTTCGGAAGTTTTTTTATCAACTATGACTATTTATTTTTATTTTTAGATAGCCTATAAAAAAATTCCTCTTGGCCGTGCGCCCTCTGGGACCTTGCGCCCATAGGCCCGGGCCTACCGGGCCTATTGGGAAATCCGGCCCTGATTTTTGAGGACTTTTGATTGAGGATTTTTGTTGGACAGTATACTTACCTAAGTGTGAAACAGTTTACGCTAAAACACCATACACTATCCACATAAATCAAACCATTTCACTGTCACCGACACCATTTTCAACCAGGGGCGGTTTGAGTTGGAAAGAGAAATATCTTCCAGCGAAATATCCTAACTTGTGTGTTTCAGTTTAGGTAAGCCTGCTATCCAAAAAAATCCTTAATATTTAAAAAAAGTTAGAATAGCCCTATAACTGTTTTACTCGTATACGATAACAATTTCAAATGCATTGCTATCAGTTTCAGAAGCAGGCTTCAGTGCCGATGACCACTATGAAGGGTGGAAGTTCAAACTTATTGACTATTGGTCCTCCTACGATACACTCTTCTGGCTGCTGAGTGAACTATACAAACTGCAAGTGCAGAACCCGGCGACTCTCAAACTAGAGCACTTTGTCAACACAAGAGGATGCGATCTAAAGAATTTCTCCGTGGAGGACTTCCGCAAGATCATCCCCCAGTATGGGGACATCTTGTATCATCAGCTGCAGACCAAGTTGAAGAGTGTGATGAACGAGGTGTGGGGCAGAGAAGGGATGCCTCAGCCGACCCCAGGTCCGAGTCATCCGCTACACATGGCCTACTTCGACCAACCTCAGATGCCCCCCCACATGCCTGGTAATCTTGCTAAATCATTTCTTGACCAAGAAACACTTTTAAGTTATTTGATTTTTTTTTTAAATTTATTTCCTGTCGCTCCTTAGCGGGAGCATAGGGCATCGAGAAGAGCTCGCCATCCATCCCTGTCTTGCGCCAGATCCCTCAGTTGACCCCAGGTCTTCCCGACACTCAAGGCTTCCTTCATTATTGTTCTCCTCCAGGTGTCACAGGGTCTTCCTCTCTTTCTGGTCCCTTGGGGATTCCATTCCAGGGCCTTCTTTTCAATTGCACCATCCGTCTTCCGAAGAGTGTGACCCAGCCACCTCCACTTCCGTCTTCTGATTTCTAGGTTGATCTTTTATTGCCCTGTTGCCTCCCAAAGCTGTTCATTTGATATAGTGTTTGGCCAGAACACTCTCATTATACATCTGAGACACCTGGAGCTGATAAGTACTACACTGATCCATTTTCCAAGTTTCACTGGCATATAGAAGGACAGACTTGACGTTTGTGTTGAAGATGCGGATTTTGGTTTTCATTGAAATATTTCTATTTCACCATATTGGGTAAAGCTGAATAAATGCTGCATAAGCTTTTCCAATGCGGCTCCTAACATTTTCCTTTGCTCCTCCGTCTGCTGTGACTTTACTTCCGAGGTATTGGACTTTTAAGTTTAAGTTTAAATAAATGGTATCAGCAATCTGACACATGCTTTCTCCCATTAGCTTGAAAACAACCTTTATCATGGGTAAGCAGTGGGAGTTACTATGATATCTTATAAGGAAAATCACAAAAGTTTCAGTAACTTTCAAACCGTTTACAGCAATGGGGGATTTAAGAATTAAAGGACCACAAACAGAATGCCCGTCCTTCATACAGGGTTGGCATATAAGTAAATAGTATAAGTATTAAAATGCTTATTGCAGTTATACTCGTGCTTTGCGTTTGCGATGGGAGAGGACACGGTTTGAGAAATTTTTTTTTAATTTATGGTATGCCAGAGTATAACACATCTACCATAGCCATAATGTTATACCACTACACCTAAACAAACAAAAATTAAATTATCAAATATTTGCAGAATATCAAAAGATTATTTATAAATTAAAAACATAAACTTGTAAACGATCCTAATTTGACAGTTCTCATCGTGTATCACAGCTTTTTCTCGCTGCTTGGTTCAAATTAACTGTTGTCATGAATGCAAAAACATTAAAAAAATTAATCGTCCTGCACCCTGTTGATATACCTTATACCTTTTTAATTATATTGAATATCATAGAACCAACTTTTGTAGTTGAAACAGCCAACAAAGTTTTTTAATTTCTTTTAAATATAAATACTCATAATGCAAACATGGGACACTCCAGGGCCATTGGGGTGGAGCCCAAAAGGATTTTTGAGATAAGAATCCTACTAATATTATAAATGAGAAAGTTTGGATGTATGGATGTATGTTTGTGACAAGTGAACGCGAAAAATACTGGTCGGATTGGGCTGAAATTTGGCATGATGATAGCTCACATTCCCGATTAATATATAGGCATATTCTTATTTCAAAAATCCTTTCGGGCTCCGCCCCAGTGGCTCTGGAGTTTCCCATGTTAACCTTATGAGAAATGGAATTATTGAATCTTAACAGCTGTTTCAATTAAACAAGTTGGTTCTGTTCTATGATGTTCAATAGCATTAAAGTTACAAGGATTACCAACAGGGTGCAGCACTATTATTTCTTTTACATTTATGACAACAGCTAATTTGCAACCAAAAGGTGAGTGAGCATAGCGAACGAACTTCAACCTGGAGGCGAGTTAGCGTAGCGAACGAGCTAACCTGAAGGCAAGTGAGCGCAGCGAACAAGCTCCAACTTAAAGGTGAGTGAGCGTAGCGAACGAGCTCCAACCTACAGGTGAGTGAGCGTAGCGAACAAACTTCAACCAGGACGTGATTGAGCTATGTGAACGAGATAATCTTGAAAATTAAGAAGTTAAACGGGGCAAAGCCCGCGGGTTACAGCTAGTATGTCTATATGTTATTCAGGAATGTGGACTATCATCATACCAAATTACTGCCCAATCCGACCAGTAGTTGATGCGTGATTGAACTTGAAACAAACAAACACACAAACTTTCACATTAATATTATAATATTAGTATGATAACATAATTTTAATCAAAACCAGCTTTTTTTTGTAATCCTTGTTATTTTCTAGGTTTTTTATGGGAACACAGTTAATAACATAAGTTACATTAACTTTTGAACTGCAATTTTTCACAACTATGGGAGTTCTACCATTTTTTTTTTTTCAGGATTTAAATGGCATAACAAACTAAATTTTTATCAAAATCGTTCCAGCCATTTACTAGAAAATTAGATTTTACCACTATTTTATGGGAAAATCACCATTAAAAATCAAAATTCCAAAAAAAAGGGAAACATGCCTAGAGATGCCATGGATTAGTACCCAACCGATATAAATGTACCAAACTTTATGTAAACCGGACTACAGGTGTGTTCAGTAGCTCTGTATACTGTGTTGTTATTCATATCTGAAAGTACTCATTGTGACTGCGATACAAATTACACTGGTAGTACTCATTGCGATGGGATTGAAATTACACTGGAACTACTCATTGCGACTGCGATACAAATTACACTGGTAGTACTCATTGCGATGGGATTGAAATTACACTGGAACTACTCATTAAGACTGGGATACAAATTGCACTGGTAGTACTCATTGCAGGACCGTTCTTGACCATGTCAGAGCCCTATGCACAACTAAAATAGTAGCGCCCCTTTGCAATATATAACAGGGTGACCACCAACCGGGAAATCCGGGAATCAAGCGTGATTTTTTTTTAACCAGGAATTGTCAATTTACCGCGATGGCGCATGACAACAGTGACGTTTCTGTGACCACGGAAGACGGGAGACGATAATATGTCTCCACAAGGCCGCGAGGGATGATCAGAACTATTCCGCGATCGCATGAGACGATGATAATGTCTAAACGACCGCGGGATATGATCATGATTTTACCGAGATCGCGCAATAAGATAATGAGATCTACAGAGCCGTGAAGGATGATCAGAATATTGTTGCGATCGCATGAGACGATGATAATGTCTATTAGCGTTAGACGATGATCATTTCCACTCAACCACGGGAAAGATCAGAATTTTGCCTCATTCGCGAAAGACGATGATGTCTTCACAGCTGTGAGGGATTATCAGAATTTTATCGTGATCACGCAAGAAGATGATAATGTCCACACGACCCAGGGAAAATTACAATTTTGCCTCATTCGCGGTAGACGGTGATAATCTCATCACGACCGCGGGATGTGTTCATATATTGCCGCAATCAAGGAAGACGATAATTATGTCCACACGTCCGCTGGAAATAGTCCGAATTTTGCCGCGATCGCGGGAGACGGACGATGATGATGTATATACAACCGCAGGAAATAATTAACATCTTGCCGCAATTGTGGGAGACTGTTAAGATGTCTACACGGCTGCAAGGGATTATCAGTTTACCGCAATCACATGCAAAAACGGCCACAATTTTTTTTCTTTTTCCAATTTTTTGGCGCCCCCCAAAAAAGCCAATTGCCTCGCGCCCTAGGCCATGACTCATTGTGACTGTGATACAAATTACACTGGTAGTACTCATTGTGACTGGGATACAAATTACACTGGAAGTACTCATTGCAACTGGGATACAAATTACACTGGTAGTACTCATTAAGACTGGGATACAAATTACACTGGTAGTACTCATTGCGACTGGGATACAAATTACACTGGAAGTACTCATTGCGACTGGGATACAAATTACACTGGTAGTACTCATTTTGACTGGGAAACAAATTACACTGGAAGTACTCATTGCGACTGGGATACAAATTACACTGGTAGTACTCATTAAGACTGGGATACAAATTACACTGGTAGTACTCATTAAGACTGGGATACAAATTACACTGGAAGTACTCATTGCGACTGGGATACAAATTACATTGGAAATAGACATTGTGACAGGAATATAAATTCCTCTGATGCAATCCTTAAAGTTAATCCTATAACTACTGTATGTGAGCAATATTTTTCGTATGTTTCAGATACATCAACCAATCATTGGCCGATTGACGGGCCATCCACAAAACATTGGCCTATGGATAGGCCTCCCACCAAACACTGGCCTACGGATAGGCCTCCCACCAAACACTGGCCTACGGATAGGCCTCCCACAAAACACTGGCCTACTGAAAGGCCTCCCTCAAAACACTGGCCTACTGAAAGTCCTTCCACAAAACACTGGCCTATAGAAAGGCGGATCTACGACTGTTGGGCTTACAAGAGTATTTCAGAGTGGTCACCGAGTGACACTTTGGACTGTTTCATTCATGAATTATTCCAACTGAACATCAACCCAGCAAGCGTCAGTCTCAACAACTTCCGAGATGTCAGCGGCCGAGACCTGGTAAGGATGACATTAGATGACTTCAAGTTGAGGTTGCCTGAGTGCGGTGAACTACTTTACCATCATCTTCAGCTAAAAATAAGGTCAAACTCACAATCTGAACTGGTTTGGAGCAGGACTCATGAAAATCGAGTAATTTCTAATCAAAGTATTAATCAAGAATTTTCTTATGCTCATAGACAAGAAATACCGTACGCCCATCCAAGTAAGTGGTTGTCCATTTCAATATTTTATTTTTACGTGTAGCACGTTTTGATAAGGATTAGGTTATGCATGGGTAGTTGTAATTATTTCTTGTAAAACTAGGTTTATTTTACATAAAAATCCAGTGCTGCAAATTCCGTTTGTAGTGCTAGTATTTTAACCACAGACCTGCAAATCCAACACTGTTTCTTTTTTTTAAAGTTACAGTCATTTCCTATGTATTTTTTTGTAATGAGTCTCCTGATTTGTTATTGAAAATGGTATTTTCTTTAATATATTACCTAAATCAAAGTAATTTTGTTCAGTTTTTTTAACCAGCTCATATTGAGCGATTGAAACGGTAATCTAGAGTGTTGATATGCTATCACGAAACTTGCAAAAAAGTCATGTCTGATTCAAAAATTAAATTAATATTTTGTTGCAAGTTTGAGATCTGTTCTCTATCAACATAAACAACTGGACCAGATTTCCATGGGTTCAATTATCTATGACAACCTTTAGTTCTAAACTAATCTGTCTATTTAACTTTGTACTCATGGAGTTTATATGAATATGGCTTACTCAATAGACCTCGTGATTAATTGATTTATTTATTGACCTCGTGATTTTGTATGTTAGTTTAAAACTGTTTGTGGATTATAGTTCAAATAATATTAATTCTAAACAAGCTCGTGCGGTGACTTACTAATATTGTGATTATATTTTCAAAATCACAATAAGTTGTTTAAGAATTACTGTGCTTATTCACAACAGATATACAGCTTTTGTTATATTTGCACTGTAAAATCAAGAACAAAAGTAATTTTCACATTCTCGTGAGATAGTGGCTAATATCACAGTACTAACACAAACTAAAACAAACCATTAATGTTGTGAGTTTTTTAGACACATAAATTTGGGTAGCACAATATCATTAATTGTTATTAATTGATAAAAATATCACTTAATTGTTGCAGTCATTCTTTAAACCGCTACATTGTGTGCAATAGTTCAGCACAGGCAATTGCCTACAAGATCGGTTTTTGTGTGATGCTTTGTATGTAAATCTGTGAGGTTTTTATGTCATTGTACTCAACAGTCATTGTGTAGTCCTAATGTTCTTTTTGCACACTTGTTAAAGGTATCTAAACACTAAATCTTTGTTGAAACTAATTGTATGAATAGTAAAATGGAAAAAAATTCAAACAAGTCCAAGACAAAAATTTGAAAATATAATGAAGGTTATGTTTTGAAAGTCAGTTCATCAGCTGATTGGATACTAAATTAAATTTGTAACCAATACAGTGTATAGTTATTGTTGAATTATACAAATATTTTTTACTATTCAACTATGAAAAAAATTATTGAATTTCTAAGTGATTGGTATTCAGTTGAATGATAACAAGTTTTCATTAGAACTGCATTTTTAATTTAGTATAAAATCAACATAGTAGATAATACGGCTTATTTCACTTTGAAGTGGGAACAAATCGATGTGTTGCCGACAGTGAAAGATTATAAACAACACTTTCCGAACGTATTTACCTTTTATAGCGGGAAGTATCTAGGTCAAATTTATAAAACCAATACTTATGGTGTGGGCAGTTTCTTTACAACAAAATTTCAAAAATGCCACTGGCAGTAGATAAATACTAAAACATAAAATACTGGAACTAGGTAATAATGTTTACATTCAAACCAATGCCATATTGCATCATTTTTATGGATAACACAATAGTGTATTTCGTACGCAGGGGCAAAAATTAGGTTTTGCCGACTCGAGATCATTTTTTAAGTTCTAGACAAAGTCGATAACTTAAAACGATCGAGAGCTGCAAAACCCTTTCGGCTGGTGGTATGAACGCTATTTTTCGACACATTATACAAAATTGAAAAAATACTATATATGCACACAACTTCAACTTAAAGGTTATGTGAAGAAATATTTAGAGGAATTAGCAAAAATAATAGTAAATAGTTGCTAGGCAGCGATGAATATAAAACAAGTCTATTACAATGCATAATAAGGATACTGCTTGTGTATTTTGTACATTAATGTTTTGAGTAATTAAGCGAACAGCTGATTTTCGGCCGTAGGACTGTAAAAACCTGCTCGGCCCCCAAATGACGAGGACGGCTGGCATTTTGGCTCTGTACAGCAATGCGTAGCTTTCAGCCTCCAATTAACATCTGTAAAACGGCTAAAAACAGCATAGTGTGGTGAACAAATATTATACTAACTTACTGTTTGAAGCTTAACTTAATATTTGAACTTACAAGAAAAAAGAATATTATATTTTGTTTGCTATGACTTTTATCATATTTTTTTTTCTTATCATTACGGGCACCAACTTAGGCTCTGAGTTGAAATTTAACAAATCTATAAAGCATTACACATTTTCAACTCATGTGATTTAAATTTCGTTCTTTAACATTCGAAAGTATTGATTTTGTAGGTTTTTAAGTAAGCCAATGTTTGTAATGTAACAGTTAAAAATAATTCAATTCCAAACTATTAGTTGTCTTCCAAAATCAAAAAGGAATATATTCTTTAGAAATTAGGAACATTCTTGGTCTTAACTACTTTGACAAAACTGTATTTAACTTTGTCATGCCAATATATCGTTTTAGCCACTTTTAAATAATTAATTAATTGAGATGTTGCAGTTAAAAGACACAGAAAATGACTGCAAAAAGAAAAGAAACATAAAATGCAGGTCTGTTTGAATGTTTTTTTTTTAATTTGGCAACACAACCGAATAAGCATCTAAGCAGCCAGTGCAACTCCGAGGATCGTGTATCAGATCGGAAACCCCCCCACCACCGCTCCATGCCGATGGCGTGGCGTCAACCATTACCGCGACGATACGAATTGTAGTCATGAGCCTTGGTGGTGTACTGGATAGCGTGTCGGGCTGATAACCTGAAGATGCCGGGTTCGAATCCCGCTGGTGTCACTAACTTTTTGTCAACCTTTTTTTCATATCAGCAGGTTTGGTTGGTTTGGTTAGGTTATGATAGTTATAAAATTGAATTTGAGATATTTATAATTTTATTTTTAGAACAGAACTATTTTTTTTCAATTAGTAAACCTTTATTCAAGGTTTTCATTACCAGCAAGATTGGTTAGGTTACGACAGTTTAATTATATTTTATTTCAATTTAACCTGCAAACGATACGTTTTGACAGAAACAGTGATAGAGATAACAATTTTCCGCGAACAGTTAGGCTATGCTGATGCGCCGGTATGATTCGGAAGCATACGACATGGTGCGGTGGTGGGGGGTGTTCTGATCCACGATCCTCGGAGTTGCACTGGCTGCCTAGACGCTTGTTGTTGCCGAGGTTCTTGGCTACTTTCACAATTCCAAGTAACGAAACAATATTGAGAAAATATTAGAAAAACTTTCTGTAAATATTGTTGATGCAATATTGTTAGATGTTTTACTAGTAATTTCTCAATATTGATAAATATTGTCCTTTATTAAATACAATAATGTTGTTACAATATTATTTACTATTGACAGCAATATTGTGGTAATATTTACTATTATTGTAGCATTTAATTAATGATAAGTGATAACAATTATATGCTGTGAAAATAAAGCAATTATGTGTAACATCTTGGTACAATTTTGTGATTATATTAAAAATGTTATTTTTATTTTGAGAAACTGATGAAAATTTTTAAATTTATAAATGATTAATAAACATTTTATATGGAACTTGATACTTTTATAATATGTTTAACTATAAATCATCTTGGGTCGCAGGTTTACTGTAATCGAGGTATAATCACATTCGAAAGTTGTTTATGCACATAAAGACATTTTATAACAAAATGTGTTCGGATTGCTTTAACAATATTTAGTATTTACTATTCAGATGTATTAGTTTTAAAATCACAAAGTTAAGTTGTCTAATTTTATTAGTAGTAATATTGTTTGGAATGACTGCACATCTGACTAACATTTGTTTTGAATTAGAGTCATATTTTATTGTTGTGAAAGTTTGCATAAAAACACCAACAATTATTCATTTTTCTCTATATTTTACATCTATATAGTTAATACTAACTAATAAGAGTAACTAAACTATAACAACAGAGATGTTAGCAAAAAAAGTTTTTTTCTGATTTCACTGAGTTTTTTTAATTTATCTTACGCTTGGTATGTTACGTTTATTAACAAAGTTTGATTATAGTTCGGCCGCTTAAAAAACGACCTGCGCGCAATGCTAAACCAATGCTGGAGGAGGTCGCTTTCTAAGCGGCCGAACTATAGTATTGTTTTCTAGGAATTTTTTACTTAGTTATACATTATACTATATTCGATAAAAGCTTACTTTAAATTAGACATGAAATCAGTAATTTCATGATAAGTCTATAATTTATACAATTTTGTAACTCAATAATTTCTTATGAATTTTATTACAGTTCTTATGAGTGTCTACAAAGAAATTGGAGGTTCCATCTACAACAATGCATTGTTAAAAGATTCATTACCTGATGATCGTTCTATGTGGCTTTTTTGGTTGTGTCAAGTCCTATTTTTATAACCATCCCTGTAAGATTGACTTACGTGTTAAGGCAATAAGCTTAGTTAAATATTTGTCTTTGATAAATTTATTGTAAAATGGCTCACGAGTATAAAAATCATGCTTTATTCGTCAACATTCAATGTGATTTTATATGGTCACTTGCTGGATTTGAGGGGAGGCAATGTGTTTGTGTAAAGGCCCGTTTTGCCAGAAGCGTCTGGTGCGTCCGACGCTCAGCGATGATCGCTCTCAGCGTCTATCGCTCGGGCCTATTTTGCCAGAAGCGTCTGTTCCTTGCGATTATTTGATCAATAAGTGGTTTACTTTGGTGGCAAAAGGAGTGTTTCTGAAAATGACCTGTAAAAAGCAAATAGTAAAGTATTGGTTAGCTGAGGAATTACACGATGATGAGATATTAGAAATGTTGTGCAAACCTTGGGAAGAAGTGCGTACTATGTTTTAAAAGAGGCCTGAAGAGGGATATTTTAAATTGTTAATTGAAAATCACATAACAATTGACTTAACAGTCGTGTGCTGAAATGGCTTCAATCGGTCTTTCATCTTCTTCACTATTGAATCCCCACTTTGTTTGTGACATGTCACTAAACTTGAAAACACAACTTATTTAAGGAAACAAAAGTTAAGTCAACAACTAAACACGTGCTTATTCCAGTAATAATCGCTAGCGACTGCGTCTCCGTCTGCTCCAGGAGCAGTGGTCCGCATCAGACGCTGGCGGTTGTAGCGATAGACGCTTCTGGCAAAATAGACTAACCTAAAACAATGCAAAGCAGTGGGCAGCGATTGACGCGGAGCGATAGACGTTGAGCGTCAGACGCACGAGACGCTTCTGGCAAAACGGGCCTTAATATTGCACCGTCACAGATTTGGTGAGCATTGTGATTTTGTTGTGATGAAGCTTAATAATTCTACTTTGGCTTTTGTGTTTAACAAGTATTTCTTATTTGGTGGATAGGATTTTAACCTTAGCCGGAAAAATCAGGGATCAATTTCAGAGGACACAGTGGAATGGGGTTCCAATACCTCTCTTTCATAGACAAAATTTCATGAAATTTAGATGACTTGCAAATGCAGGGTTTTATTCCAGAGAAACGTAGTGTAACTGTAAACCAATACAGTAGACTCCCTCTTATCCGGAAACCTTTTAACCGGACTACACTCAGAAGTGACATCTCTTTATCCGGACAATTTTTATCAGCACAACGGTTTAACTGGACTAGATCGGCAGGAAGTGAGCGGTACTGAAAGGACTATTCTTGTGGAAAAGATTTGAAACTAGTTATCACGTGTCTAAATACAATGCTCTCATAAATTTAAGTCAAATACTGTATACAGTATGCACTTAAACGGTCCGATTTAACAAATTTTTGGAGACGTTGGTTTAACCGGAAAAACTGTTATCCGGACTGGCCTTGGTCCCGAGGAGTCTGGATAAGAGGGAGTCTACTGTATTTCTCTTTTGTAGATAAAATTTCATAAGTTAAAATATTATTTTGATGGATACTGAGGCTGCAAGCTACTGTCTTTTTGTTGTAATATAGCAGAATTGTTTATGGGATGAGGGAATCAGAGCTATAAATGATGGTGAGGAGGATAGCTGGCGTTACGATTCAGTTCTGGGATATTAAATTTTAGACGTCAAGCAATGGGATGCGTATGCGTCTTGTATTCAACTTCAAATTTACTGGTTCTTTCAGTGTTAGTTCCTTCATCATTGACTGTGGTTCATAATGTCAGAAAATGTGTTATTTAGTCATCACAACAATCCAACAAACTCACAAAGCTCACATCTTTCTTGTTCTATTTATATTCAGAGTTTTTGCAGTTGGCAACTTCTCGTTTAACGTGTTAATTTTAAATGCCAACCCCACCTCAACTTGAACTACTCCCTATCCTAAATGCAGGTTTCTTTGTCCGACTCTGTACAATGAGCTGTCTTATCTGAAATTACTACTAGTTTTCTGTTAGTCTGTTTATCGAGTGTATTGTATAAGGTGTAATGTTGATTTTGTTTGTTTACTTATATGACAACCAGTTACAGGGTGATTTGTAGTGGGGGGAGCCAGTGAGCTTAACTCCAAAAGTTTATCGCTTGATGCTCGGTAAGTATCTTATTTGGCCAAGGTTAACATTTGCTAGTCAGTAACTGAGAAATACTCACAAGTCATCGTAGTACATGAGATTGTGGTAGTGAATGTTTCTCAGAGTGTTAGACACGGTGTCTGATTGTTTTAAACGTTGGATTTCAGTTTAAAAATCTTTACAGATTCATTGCATGTTTGAAAAGTCCTCGGCTTGATGCTTATTATTCATTTATTTTCTGACCTGATAATTTTTTTAATTCATGGGATGGCTCTGCATAGATTTGGTAATACTACTTCCACCTACTGTATCTTTCAGTGAACCGTTTTCATCACGAAATTGTAATGACGTGTTACAAAAAAATCCTTTTGGCAAATGCCGATTTGTATCAGCCGAGATTTATTTCTTCCGACCATTTTATTGCCTTCAAAGTTCGTTAAACAAAAAGTCTGCTTATTATCCAAGGTCGATTACTACGGACTCGGATTCAAGGGAGGCTTCTATATAGAAAGGAATGAAAAATGGAAGGGAGGAATTCATCTTCCATATAACTGGATAAAAAGGTGTAGCTGCTGCCATTTCGGTAAGTTAGTGACTTTTCAAAGCTTAGAAACGAAACTTGCATGCCCAGTTTTGCATGGTCAATTAAATATCAGAAATATTTGAGCTAAAAAAAATCAATTTTGTTTGCAGAAAATGAATGAAAGTATAAAACCTTTTAGGTGTTGGTTTTGCAGGTTTGCTTGGTTTTTGATAGCTTATATAACACAGTATGCTAACAATAACGTGTGTGTTTGAACAGGCTGCTTTAGATGGAAACCAGAAGTTTTCCCAGGAGGGTCAGCTGATAATGATACGGTACTCAACTTATCCAGAGAACACACATCGACTTCTGCCTGTGATTTGTCTATTACAAGTGTCAGTTTACCAGCATCATCGTCTGTCAGCAGTTCACAGTCTACTTCATTTGAGCCGGCTCCTACGGTTTCAAAGAGTCAGTGTTCAGTTTCCAAAAGCAATTTCTCAATACTGAATTTAACAAAAGATTGTGTGAAACACACCAGCTCGGTTATCAAACAAGAGAATGAGTCTGATCCCCTTCCCCCTGATACAGCGGAGACCATCGCACAAGAAGTGGAGTGCTCTCCTCAGCGTCCGGCGTCTAGAGACAGTTGTTGTGTGGAAAACACTCAAGACTCTGTCGCGTCAGCTGCTGACTCTGAACACACCAAAGGAGTTGAGGGTTCTGGTTAGTCATTTCAACATTACCACTAGTATAATGTACTATTGCTACTTTCAACATTGAAGTGTATACATAGTGCTTGAAAGTGTGCTATAGAACAACAAAAAGAAGTAAAATAATATGCAGCTTTGTTTTAATAGTATAAACTTTAAAAATTCAAAAGCAAAAATGTATTCTTCATGTAAGGAAGTAATGTCTAAATCTTAACTGGTAAATTTCTATACTATTCTACTATTGTCAATTAATTTCAAATGTATCTAAAACTCAGTTCCGTTCCATGGTTTCAGTATTTTTTATATTCTGTATTGAATGTAACTAACAGTGCTAATACAAGTGTTTTTATGGTTTCTGTTTTTGTTTTCAAACCTTACACCCTGGAAATCACAATGCAAATGCACTGTTATGTAGCTTTGAGAGATAATGGATCACTTGTGTACATTGTTGACCTTAGCTTTAGCTAATGCAAGCTGCTACCAAAGTCTGTAATTGAGTGTGTAGTTAAAGTTTATTCCTGGCATTCTGCCAAAGGTCTATATTTTTAACTTTATTTTGTACTTCAAAGGGGAACTTGAACACATCTAATTCAGATTACTTTGGGTATTTGTCAAAGAAATAACAATACGTGTAAAAATAGTAGTCAAAGTTCCAGTTATCAACTAACTTGGTCAATATTGATGATGTATTATCATCAAAAGAGCCAAACTCAATCTTTTAGTTTATGTTTAAAACTAATTTGAGTACATAAAACAAAGTATAAATTGAAAACAAAATATCAACTACTTAGGAATTGATGAATGAAATGGTTTCATGAAAAGTAAAATTTATTACTGGTGTAAATATCGTACAATAATATGTATAATCATGCATTACAGCGATGGACCATGGTTACAATTCAGAGACCAACGATGAAATTCAGAGTGACCAAGAAGAGAGTTACAAAAAAGTGAAAAGGAAACCTGGAAGACCACGAAGTTTACACAAAAAGGACAAAGTAAAAGGTATTGTTTCTACCCAAATTATAAATTAAATTATTCCTTTTTATCATGAAGATTGTTTGATTTTTATCATTATGAGGATTGTGCAGAAGTGAATTTAAGGATTTGAACCCATGGTCTGAAAGTTAGTTGCAGGAATTTTAAAATGGGTTGCATCCCAGTTCCTGATGTTCACGATTTTCTAATGCCTTTTGAAAAACAGCGGATAAATGTGTGAATGTGTGCCCGATAGTTTACCCTGATGCTGTTTGACAGAATTTCTTATGTTCTGTTAAAAAATATTATATATTATATTTTACCAAGTATTTGACTTCCTAATGTGGTCAAACCCCTAACCTTAAAATGTAAGAGACCTCCGTGTTATCTGAGAGTGTCAGTAATCGAGGTAGTCTTGGTCTCAACAACCTCGGTTAATCGAGAGTTTATTGTAATGCTTGTTCAGTTTATGGCTTAAAAAAACGTTCAAATTCATTTTTAATTTAAATGTTTTTGAATATGTGTAAATTTGCTGTGGTCACGTCAACATTGTGATCATCTTTCGAGGTCACAATAAAATGAGGGAACATCATCCGTGGTTACGGCAAAATCAATTACAGCTCAACAGTTTTTGGCTCGAACTGATCTCTCAGGCCATCTGATGACCCATCCCAATCTAAACATTTGGGGACCTACAGACACCTAGTAAAAAGGTACACTTGGAAAACCAGGTTTTGCTGCCGGAGAATTTGTGTTGATTTTCCCCAGGAGTTAAGTGGCCACTCTGTTACGTGTTGTCTGTAGTGCCACAATCCACTCATGATAAACAATGTATCTGTCCTCAGGTAAGGTGGGTAGAGTTTGGGAATTTATACGTGATCTAATCATGGACCCAAAATACAACCCCAAAGTGATCTCATGGGAAGATCAAGAGAAAGGGTTGTTTCGCTTTCGAAGCGGAGACCAAGTTGCCAAGCTGTGGGGCTGCAAACGGGGAAACCCTCGCATGAACTTTGAAAACTTCAGTCGATCCATCAGGTTTGTGAGAAATAAAACAGTCGAATAGTGAAACTGGCTTTGATTGGAAACTGAACTAGGCGAGATTGAAATGTATGATAATATTTTTGTTGGGCATCACTCACCTTATTGAAGTCACGAGAACTTAGTCCTTGTCATGTCACAATCATACACAGTTCATTGCACATAAAAATATACAAAAATAAAAATAAATCCAAATTTAAAATATCAGACAAAAGTTCTGAGTTGGTGTTGGTGTTGAGAACTTTTGTCTGATATTTTAAATTTGGATTTATTTTTATTTTTATTTTTGTATATTTTTATGTGCAATGAACTGTGTATGATTGTGACATGACAAGGACTAAGTTCTCGTGACTTCAATAAGGTGAGTGATGCCCAACAAAAATATTATCATACTGAAGTATTGACCTCACCTAATATACCATGTCGTTTAAGAATAGAGATTGAAATGCCAAAGTTTTTTTTTTTTCCTAAGACGCTAGGCACGAGCCCGGGATTGTTTTTCACATTACTTTAGACCAAACCTAGGGGTTACAGCATTATCACTTAAATAAAATCCATTTGATGATTTGGCGGGATTTGAACCCGGGACCCCAGGGACAGAAGTCCCGTGCTCTAACTACTACACCAGCTCGCTCCCCAATGCCATGAAATGCCATAGTAAAACTATTAATAAAACAACTATGATAGTTGTGCTTTTACTGAGAGTAGACAAGGGATATTACTACGCTGCCATCTGATTGCGGATTTCTTTATTTTGTAATTTAGGTAAAATTTTATAAATGAGTTTATTTTTCAATAACGTTTTTGGATAGTGATTTTTCTAGGTGTTTGGGTACAGTATTTACAATTCAAGAAAAGTATTTATTTATGCTAACCTTGAAAATGTGTATTTTCTTTTAATCGTTGCCGAGTACGCACGCACCAAAATGTACGAGATCGGCGCGCGCCTAGCGGCGTCATAACGAAACGTTCTTTACTTTCTGGATAGCCTGAGTAGTACACGTCACATAGTACAGTTTAAAAAAGTATTGATTATTTCTTTTTGTAAATGTTGAAAAGCCTCTACCACTTTATGATATTCTCGTTTCTTTGCAGGCAAAACTACAAGAAAGGTTACTTGTTGCCGGTGGAGAAGATTCGTCTGGTGTACCAGTTCGGGCCTCGCTCCACGGGTTGGCGTCCGGGTGATCCCCCCACTAAACCCGTCACTCTCCCCTCCAACACCCCCTCCCCCTCCGCCGCGGCTGCTACCACTACTGTTGCTCAATAGATTGTACCCCCCCCCTTTGTAGTGGCTGCAAAGGCTTATTTATGGTGTTACTTAGTGTTTAATGTATTTTTTTATAAATTTGTTATTCTATATGTTAAATGTCTTAATTTATTTGAATCTTATAACGACTTGATAGACAAGTATAAAAATGTAATGGTTTCAGTTAATTCTAGAACGTATAAAAAGCGGAATGAAAATATTCAATAATTAGAATATTTTAAAAGCTTGGTTAAAAAATGAAAGCAACAACTTTATCACTAAAACTCGTTATTTATTTCTTATTACGTTTATGTTGATAATTTACTGTTTTGCTTGAATGTTAAATGCTAGAAAGTTGTAAATAAACGGTTTACTATTACGGTTTAAATATTTCTAAAATTTTATTATATATGTAAATTGTTGTTGATATGGAGATGTAGGTATTTTATTATATAGCCTACCTAGTTTATATTTTTGTATGAAGATACTTTGTAAGAGTAATTTTATAGTTAGTAAGTATAAATTAAATAGGCCCAATTATTCCCTTGAAAATATAATTTTGTGAAGTTTGTTTACAGATAGTGTAGTTATTTGAGGAACAAGGCCCATTTACTACAGGGTTTGTTAGATTTAACGTTTGAGGTCTACTACCACCTGAGTGACTTGAGTCTTGTGTGCTGACGTGTTTTGAGCACAAATTGGAATTAACCTTAAATACTCACTGGAGCATAGTTTGTTTTTTATGGCTTATCTTGTATAATGAGTTTTTCACTTTAACACGTTTGCTGTACTATTCTCTGTCACTTGCATGATTGTTTGTATGTATGCTTGAACATCATACAATATGTCAAATACACTTATAATTATTGTTGAGCAAATCAAAAAACGAAGTAAAGTTAAGTTGATTTTAACAACTGCTGTCCAAAGTTATGTAAAACCACTAGCCTGTAAAGAAAGAGATTACTTTACGATGGTGAACATCTAGGCTCAACAGATTAAACGTTGGTTAAAAAATAAGAGCTTTATCTTTAGAAATTATGGTCAATGATAAAAATAAAAACGTGTGTATATTAAGTTTGATAAGCCTCGCGCTTTGTAGGAGGAGCCTTAACACTTTTTCCAGGATCAACTTGCTTGTTGTGAAACAGTAGAAAGGCGCCTAGTGCCTTTTTTATGAAACAACCTGAAACATAGGAACAGCGTTCAGGGCCTCTTAAATAAGTATTGCTTTATAAACTGCGGATTTGTCCTTCAAAAGTGTATTCTTTTGTGGCATGGTAAAAAGGTTGGGACCACAATAATGCATATGTTGTGTTTGTGTATATGTGTTAATTTCTCAGGGTAAAAAATTCAAACCTTAAAAATGTTTGTCGCTAAGATAAATTAAAATCCCTCAGGTAAAGGTGAAAACTATTAATATATTTAGACACTTTTAAACTTATATTGTAATAACTTTATATAATATTTTTCTTGTTATTTTATTTTCTGATCTTTATCTTAGAAACAAAATTAACAGTCTGCTTTACCTATCAGCTACAGCCCTTATATAGGACTACGTAAATGGATTATCAATATAACATCATAATTCATAACACGATGCACATTAGCTTTTTTCGTTCTTCAGTAGAATTTATTTTGTCTTCCTTCAACTTTTCTTAATAAGTGTAAGATTCATTTTCATTAGATAAAAACAATGTACGTAACCGCTTTAATACATTTGTGATAGCTTCAAAATTAAGTGAAACTGTTTTAAAAGCATGGTCAGCATGTAATTGTTTTTGTAGTTTAATTTAGTTTCAACAATAGTAATTATTCTCTTTAATTAACCTTTAATTAACACTGCTATTTTTTAAAGGACGATTAGATTTCAGCTCACTTTTTTGACACTGGGGCACTTGTCTTCACAGGATGTATCTCTTTAACTTGATAATGTAAAACTCTTCAAAGTTAACATTGTTTTTTAAAAACACAGTACACCAAGTCAATGTTACTTAAATTTTCATGGGCTTCTTTAAACCTTTAAAGTGCCTAAAAACCATATTTTCACATGTATTTGTCTCCTTTTACTGTTTTAACAGTAGTTTGTAAATTAGGTTTTCCACCCATAACAATGGCACTAATATCAGGGGCGGTGCCTTATAGCTTCCCTTTTGAAAATTATTATCTTCATTAATTAGTTTTGGAATAAAGTAGGAAATGTATGTTTCAAGCACTTGCATGTCAATTATTATTGGGTTTTAACAGTTTATCTTTGGTTGATATGTATAAATGTTTGAAAATTCATTTATGCATGGTATTTAAATACTAAATTAGATAATGTTAATGTTATTGCAAGATTTTATAAATAAAGTAAAGTGCTGTTTAGTCTCTTACAGTATATTTACAAATTGAGCTTTTAAACAGCACAAGGCCTATTTAAGAATCACTGGATTTCGATAAAGTGTAATTTAATTTTGCTTCCTATTAAACCTTATTTTTTTGTATATGAGTAAAAACTCCTTCAGTCTTTATAGTTAAATGATTGTTTGAAATTTTAAATATTTTATAGCAAAGATGTTTGCTAGTAGGAAAACGGTCATAAAAAATTGCAAAAGTAAACATAGATAGGCTACTAGATAGATATTATATTCTTTCACCATATATACAATTCCATTTTTTTAATCATTGCTATACTCCGTTCAAACAGCCGGCGGCACCTGAGGGATTAGGAGGCCCCAAGGGTTTCCATGGGGTCTCCTAATCCCTCAGGTGCCACGGCTGTTTGAACGGAGTATAATGCGTAGCCCTATTTCTTAAACTCAAACTTTAAAAATCTGGTCCTAAATGTAAAACTTTATTACATCAAAAATTATAGAAAAGGCAATTAGTATATTTAGGCTTCGTTTTGCGTTTGTTATTAGCTTTGAAAATCTAAAAAGGCAAACGATTTAAATTATCTTAGCCTACATTGCCATGTAAACTGAAGGGTTTAATTTTTTTTAATTGTATTGTAACTTTGATTTAATTATATATTCTTCGATCTTTTTCTGTAAATGTTGCTACATAATGTCATTAATGTCTGTGATCGTCTTAGCATTGGTCATTGTCATAGGTTCTCCGGAATACCAGAACGTGATTTTTAATATTTTTCAAATGAATTTTAGCTTTTGTTGTGAACATGTTTTCCTTAGTCGATGGTTCTTTAATGTATCTGTTCCACAGCTATTGTATTTTCTGTGTGCAATTTCACCCATAACATGTTATAGACTAGTAAGCCTAAACTGGCGAGCACATAAGCAGACAGTGAAGCCAAATTAATGTACCAATATTATTGTGTTAGGCCTATCGCAAATGTTTAATTGTGAAATGCTCAAAGAAGTACCATGACTGTTAAATGTAGTTTTGGGAATCGGCACACACATCAAGCACTGTTGACTGTTTCACACTTACTTATGCTAAATGTTGTGTTATAACGCCCTCACTAGAGTAGGAAACACCCCTTACCTCACTGTTGGTTATCTTCATCTGCTCAAGAAAATATAGTTCTAATATAGTTCTTAAACTTTAAACACATTGAAGGTAAATATTGCTATTTGGCACTTTACTTCTGTTCTCCATTTATTTTGATTTTTATTCAACAGTATTGGGGTGAAATGTAAATTCAATCACTTTTTCGGCACAATATAGAAAATACGTGTTCTTTTTATCTAATAGAAAATAAAATATTTTCAGTAATTGATTTAAAATAATACAGTTTGTTTAAGCTGGAATTATTGAAATTCACACCACTCGCAATTTTAGGAATAATATGAGTTACAATCTGAGATACAATTTTTCTAACCCTAACATTTTGTGCTAATTTTAAAGTAGGCTGTAGGAAAATTACTCTCAGAGTTTGCAAGACAGTGAGATATTTTACCTGCAATGTGTTTTTACAGAGAAGTGAGGTAAAGAGGAAACTTGCTTATAGGACAACCGTGCTCTTACTTGTGAAATATACTTGTGACAAGCAAGGAAGAGCCCTGCTAGCACTGTGCGGATATTCCTTTTACACAGGGCACAGGGTCTTCCTCCAACGTAAGCGTTGTAGAACATGAGGACATTGACATTGCCCTAGACACCACTTAAGTTTACCATTGAATTTTTCCTTACCTTACTTCTCTGTGGTTTAATATAGTAAAATATGTACTTCTTGATTTCTGCTTTATAGTGAATAAAGAGTGCTCAAGTCCCTACCAATCTGTACCAAATGAGTGGTTTTTGTAGATGTGATATTCTATTTCAAGAGATAAATCAAATATTTTTGTAAATTTATAAAGTAAACATTGTTTTTATTATTATTTCTATACTTTGAGAAATGTTAAAATACTTAAGAATAAATATTCTTACGGTGAAATGGATATTGTGTTGATATCTTGTAAAGTAAATTGTTAACCTTCATAAACATCGAATGTGTATTTTACAAGTTAAAAATTTATAAATTAATTTTTACTCCAGCCATCAAAAAAATCCATTTTGCTAGTTATTGAATATACTTAAAATAAAAATATAATTGGTAACTTTTGATGAACTATGTATCTGCTTCTAGTTCAACAGCACATGTCAACTAGTTTCACAAAATAAATACTTGGAATACATAAAGATTGTATTTATACCTGTAAATCTCAGTAAGCGTGTGTTGTTTGTATTTTTCATAGTAATGCATAGTCCGGATGTGACCATAGGTCTAGTTAATGCCAACATAAATTCTTGTGTTTATAATTGTTGTATCTCTATGAAAGTTTGTACCAGTTTTTGCAAGGTTGTATCCTATATGTTAGTAGTTATGTGTTCTTCAATTGAAACTGTTGATGGCATCTATATGGATTTAATGTTTCATCTGATTCTTTTATCAGAATCATATCAGTGTTTGGGCCTATCGCCTACTTCCTCCCCTAAATAAACAATTAATTGTTTGCCATAACAGCATTCCAAGTCATTGAAATAAATATACTTTGAAAAAAAATCATATTGTTAAAAAGTGTTATCATGCGAGGTGATCTTCTGAGTCCATCCTGTTTCTTTATTTAATTTTAAAGCAATAAAATGAAAACTTCATAAAGCAAGGAAGACTGACAAACCAACAGTTTTAGAAATGATTGCTTAGTTGTTCACTGTGTAATACTTTCCTTTGCCTGTTTAAGACTGAAAATAATAAGAGATCTTGGAAGTGCCATGTTGTGGGGTACTGCTTAAAGTCTTCATCTAATTGTTGTTATAAACAAGGTGTCTATTCTGATTTGCAATATTGAGAATTTGATTTTTGTATCAGTGTTTTTATTCTTAGTAATTTTTTAATAAATGTTTTTTCCAGTTTTCATATAAAGAACATTACCGATATTTTGTACTTACAGTATTGTATTGCAATTAAAAAAATTTATTTATTTCTAGTTTTTTCATAGTTTTCTACATTCTAATTAGAGACATCAGGAATAGATGCCTTGCGTGGTTTGTGTGCACATTAAATTATTTCATAATTCTGTAGGCAGTGCTAATGTAGTTAATTATTAATATATTTACAATTAAGTGTTTTCTTTTATAATGTGTAATATCTGGACCGATACAGGGTATTTAGTGGAAACTAGTAAAAATACTGTAATCAATTATCAATGTTTTTAATCACACTTCCCCTATAAGTAGTTTCAGAAACCTAAAGAAATAACAAATTGCATTAGTAAGTTATTTAATTTAATTTTACAAACCATAGTATTAAATTTAATGACTATACAGTTTAAAAAAATATATATACTGTTTCTCTGGATGTTTTTTTTTTATTGTTTTCTGTTAAGGACATTGATCGTCAAAATGTTTTCAAAGTTCTCAATACTTTGTTGGATGAACAGAGGTCAATAAATTAAAGTAAGCTAAAACATCGTACCTAATCTTCTCAGATATATATTTTTATTTCTTTGTGATTTTCAAAATATTAAATGTACTTTAAGAAGAAGCTATACCAATATGTTACAATTTCTGTTATGATATGAAAAGACCAAATAAAGTCTCGTGACCTGAAGCTCGAAGTAAGTAATATTTTCTGTAGACTAAACATAAGTAAATTTTCATTTTAATGACGGGAGAAAGTATGTGCCAGTTCTTTGGTGGTATCTGTTCTCAATGTTGTTGTATTGTTGAATGTATATATGTATTTATTTCATTTCAAGTAAGTCTACTTTGAATGACTGTACTTGAAAATGACCAATAAAATTTTCTATTGTCTGAGTGGGTCTATTTTGTTTTTAATTGGCCCATTTATTTCTAAGGAGTCATTTTAGGAAAAACTCTAAAATATAGGTTTTCTAAATAGGCTAGGTGTGAACAGGATGCAGTCAATTTTACTATTCTTGATGCCAAAGTCTAGTTCAGCATATATGCTAAGAGTGATAGTGAAAAAAACTCAATATTCAGGATTTTTTCAGATAAAGTGTTCAGATTGCTTTACCGGAAAAATTATAGTTCAGATGTTTTTAAATACATTGTAAAAGGCTACATAATATACTAATACTTTGTCTCAGTAGAATACTTAAACACTTAGACACCGCTTCCCAACCAACAACTAGAGCTAAGAATGAGCTTGGTTGGGAAGTGACTGTGTTTTCAAGCACTTTCTCATGTGCTGAGCCAGTATGTCCCCGAAGCACTGCCGTCCTACTCTCTCACTCAAGGGCAAAAATTGTGCGTCCCAACTCTGCACTCTCTGATCCGCCTCTTCCATCATCTTTCCCCCAAAGGATCACGGTGCTAAACTGGCAGGCTTCTTTACTGAACCAATTTTTTGTCCGCTATTTTAATACTAATTTCTCTCTATCCCCTGACTCAAAAATGTACCTGCAACTATCCTTTTCTCAGTTTTACTTTCATTTCCCTATTTAATCAACCCCAAGTCAAGGTGGAACAGCATACGCCGAGGACTGCATGGTCAAGGGTAGCTTGGCCACTAGTATGCGGACTGCTGGATACCAGGCGACCTCCAGTTTCAAGCAGCCTTCCCTGGGCAAGCAGGGCTCTGCCCGGGGCGACTCTTCATTCCCTTGTTACTCGTGGGATCATTCATCTGAGGTGGCTACAAGGCCCCAAGATGTTATCCCTCGAGAGCATAACGTTTCCTCCCAAGAGGTGCCCGCGTCTCAGGGAGGGGATGCCATGACACTATCAGAGGAGGGAGGCCTCCTCAACGACGAGGACTACAGCCTTGTTTAGGGGCAGCTTTGCCCTAGGATATATCCCAATTGTTAGAGGGAAGCAAGGGAGGTATTTCTCCTGAAAAAGAGGGAGAGACCCAGCCCAGCCAAAGTCCCACAGGTATATACTTTTGTCTTTCATGCTAAAGACAATGGAAAAAGTAACTAACCGTCGCACTAGAGACGATTACTTAGAAGAAGTACCCTCAGTGGATGTCATCATGCGTTTGTGAAGGGCAAATCAACTTCAACGGCCCTAAGTATCCTAGTGGCAAAGATTGAAGACACCCTAAAACAACAGGAATTCCTAGCAGGGGTCTTCATGGAAATACTGGGTGCCTTTTGATAATGTGAGCTATAACTCCATAGATAGATGCAGCAGTCATAAACAGGGGCACCCCCCCCCCCCCCCCGACAAAGCATCTTGGATTAAGGCTCTACTGAACAGCAGGGAGATGACAGCAGATATATAGGCGGCTATTAAGCAGCAATCGCAGCACGCCAAGGTTGCCCCTAAGGAGGAGTCATCTTGCCCTTGTTGCGGGCTTTAGAGGTGAATGACCTTTTGAGAGAGGCAGATCGGAGAGACATGGACCTCCAAGCCTTTGCAGACGACCTAGTGTTAACACTCAGAGGAAAACACGCAGCCACTGTGGAGAACCTCACCCATTCAATGTGTCTTTACACTAGTACGGCGCGCGTATGGCACTCCTGAGTATTTATTATTTTCTGTTCAGTTGAGTTGCGATGTTAACACGACGGCAAAAGATGGTTTTAGCCATGTACCTAATATGGAGGTGATGAAAAAGAAGAAGGAAAATAATAGGCGATTTTGGGTTCACCCGATAATTAATAATCGGTACGAGTTTGGGACATTCAGGGTGTTATTCGATTCCTTACGCAACGATGAAAGATTCTTTTCTTATTTTCGTATGTCTATTACGACATACGATACGAACCCAACTTACCAACCCTCCGAGTAAATCTCATTAACCACGCCTCAGTGAATACTCCACTTAAAAGTTCAAATCAAATGAATAGGCTAATTTAAAATATAATAAACTAGCTGTACCCGCGGGCTTTGCCCCATTTAACTTCATATGTGAGTTCGTTCGCATGGCTCAATCACGTCCTGGTTGAAGTTCGTTCGCTACGCTCACTCACTTTTAGGTTGGAGCTCGTTCGCTACGCTAACTCGCCTCCGGGTTGAAGTTCATTCGCTACGCTCACTCACCTTTTGGTTGCAAATTAGCTGTTGTCATAAATTAAAAATACCCCCGCCGCAGCAAACCTGCAGACTAAGCGAATTTCCATTTGCCTGACTGGATTTCCACTAAAGTGTCTCCTTAAAAATATCACATTTATTCCCTATTTAAATAACATTATTTTAACGAGTTAGGTTTGCTGCAACAGGGAGGGTAAAAAGGTATTTTTTTGTAAAATGTAAAAGTTTTGTATGAAATGAATGCATTTTCCAAATTTGATCAAAATATGTTCATAAACAAGCAAACTTCAACAGTTTACTTATTCTCCATAAGAATAACATGGGAATTTTAAATTTACAGATTTTTGGAATTTTCTCCGTAACCATTAGGCGCATAACAACGCTTCAATATACTAAATTATTGTTTTTTTTTTAAGCTCTACAAAATAGTTTGGAAAGAAATTGCTACATTTTAAGTTTTTAGGGTCAAAATTGGGAAAAACCAATTTTTATCCCATAAAACCCCCCATAAACCCCTGTTCCCATAGTCCGATCATGCTGGTTCGCGAACTCGTTCGAATAAACGTAGGTTTACACGTTTGTACCAAATTTCATCAAAATCGGATGATTTTTGCTCGAGTTATCGCGCTAACGGACACATATATACATATATATATATATATATATATATATATAAGTAGATATATTCATGTCACTTCTGGGCCAAAAACGGAGCCACTCAAAAATTAAATGAATTTTCCTATTTTTTTATACAATATGCTATATTTTTACCCTTTTAGGTCAATTTCTAACATTTTCATATTTTTCTAGAAAAAGTATACAATTTTGATGAAATTTTCATGAATATGTCTATATTTTACATAAAATTGACTACAAAACAAAATGTTTTTAAAAACAAGTAAAATTTTAAAATTTAATGAGTAGTTTTTATACAAATTTAACTAAAACAGTTTCTTTATCTTTGAATGTTTTAATTTCAGTAATAATTAAGTTTAAATCTTTTTTATTTAATTCTTTAATTGTTTTTTCATCAAATATATTAATAAATCTATGAGGCAAATGAACTTTACATTTTTCTAATTCAACAATAACTGTTGGTCCATATTTATCTTTAACTTTTTCAAATTTTTCTATTTTATATTTTGTATTCAATTCTAAACTTTTTATTGGTTTATATTCTTTGAATTTACATTCTCCAATATTATTAATCTCTTCTAATAGATCCATTTATTACAAAAATAATTATAAAAATTTTAAACAGTTAATAATTGAAATATATGAAAAAAATTTTAAATATCACACAACAGTTTGTTAGAACTGTTGTGTGATAGATGAATATTCTATTTTTTTTAATAATATCTGATGTATCACTTATGTTATCAGAAAAACCATTATGTTGATATATTATGCATGGATCATTTAAAGTTGATAGATGTTTTAGGAATTTAAAAAAAATATCATCAAATTCTGGTTTTATATAAAAATTCAATTCTAAAAGTTTAAAAATCATTGGTAATAGTTTCTTAAATGATATATTTCTTTTTGTAAAACTGAAATATGCATTAAAAATTACTGTAATATTTCTTTTATCTTCAAAATTTAGTTCAAAATCAATATTGAATATTTTGTTTAAGAATTGATAGTAAAATATCCAGTTTGTATAATTTCTTTGTTTTAAGAATAATTTTATATTTTTAGGTGTTATTTCAAAACTATTGTCTAAAATACATAATGTATAGATTTCATTGATTAATTGTTGTGTACGATATGGTTGAAAATGATTAAATTCTCTTAAAATATTTATAAGATGTTTGTTCTTATTTTTTCATCTATTAATTTTTTTTTTCAGAAATAATTCTTTTACATATATTACATCCTATACAATTTTTAATAATTGTAAAGTTATTAAAATTATGACATCTATAACATATATCCATTTATTTATAAAATAATTATATCTAAATGGAAGAACTTATTCAGTGTCATAAATGTAAGAAGAAAACTAAAAATATTAATCCAGAAATTGTTGAAATGAAGAATGGTTTGTTTAGAATTGCTACGAAGTGTTCAATATGTAAAACAAATAAAAGTAAAATAATTAAAAAGGAAATTAAACCAATAATAAAAAAGGAATTAAATAAAAAAGATCAAATAATTGAAGCTAAAGAAATTCATGCTCTAATAAGAAAAAAATTTCCAAAAAGAAAGATAGTTACATTAGGTATTGATGATTTATGGGCAGCTGATTTAATCATTATGAAAAATTATTAAAAAGAAAATGATGGTTATAAATATATGTTGAATGTTATTGATACATTTTCTAAATATGTTTGGTCAAAACCTTTAAAGAAAAAAGATGCAAAATGTGTATCTATAGCATTTGAACAAATTATAAAAGATGCAATAAAAATTGGTCATAAATCACCAAACTTATTACATACAGATAAAGGACTAGAATTTATAAATAAAGAATTTAATGGAGTTTAAAAAAAGTATAATATTAAATTGTATCATACAGAAAATGAAGAAAAATCAAGTATTATTGAAAGATATAACAGGACTCAAAATGAAAAAATGAAAGTTCTATTTGAAATTAATAAAAATTTTAGATGGATTGATATTCTTCAAAAAATAGTTAAAGAATATAATAATTCATATCATTCAACAATTAAAATGAAACCAATTGATGTAAATAAAGAAAATGAAAATGATTTATTAGATACAGTTTTTAAATATATCCCACCAAAAATAATTACAAAATCTAAATTTAAAATAAATGATAGAGTTAGAATAGGAAACAAAAAATCAACTTTTTC